TAGTTGTAATATTTCCCACTGGAGTATAAATTATCGGACGGAACATCATCAAAGCGTTATTAGTGTACTTTCAATCTTATGTCGCAACAATGCTCAGCTTGACAACGTCTTTCGTTGCATTTTGGGAAGCCGACGTTGCGTTGCATTGCAAAGTATTGCAGTCAAATCAGCTGTCCGAGATATTCGATTGTCGATTATCCTTTAATCACAAAATGGATACATCTTGTACAAAATTCCAGAGAAGAAGACGAGAAAACACTAAAAGGAGAAATTTCGTAAGACTCAGAGATTATTTTTCGGCAAAGTTCCAAAGACTGAAGGAAAATCGAGTTTTTAAAATCAGACAACAACAATCACTTATGCCATATTCCTCCATGTTCTTATATCACATATACTAAAATAAAAAATCTAAACCCTTTTTTGTCTAAAATTTTTCAAATTATGTATTTTTCTTTTTTACTTGGAAGTGGCCTAAAAACCAGATTCTTTCTTATATCATCGATATAAACAAAACTTATACAACATACCTTCAGCATAAAAAGGAGAAGTGCTACGATTGCAAATGATAAAACTATCCATATTGACCATACTTTGATTATAACAGGTCATTGATGGCCTTCAACAATGAGAAAAACCGATTCTAACGTCCTGATTTAAGCATAAAACAATAAAAGAAAATCAAATAGGATATAAAGCAACAAAAGACAATCACTGAATTACAGGCTCCTGACATATGCAAAGTACATAAGGAATGTGGCGGGGTTAAATTGTTTGAAGACACCAACCCTCCCTTAACCCGGGACAATGGTGCAACGGCACAACACAAGAACAATTACACAAAACAATAAACGAAAAACAAATCTGGGAAACAGCTGTAAACGACAACAACTGAATTACAGGCGCTTTACTTGGGACAGTCACATATAGAATGTGGCGAGGTTAAACATGCTTGAGGGCGCCCTACCCTCCCATAACCTGTAACAGTAGTGTAACAGCACAACATATGAAAAAAGCCATAAAAATCAGTTGAAAAGGGCTTAACGCACCAGATCGATACAAAGCAGAAAAGCAATTAACAAAAACACAGACCGGACGTGGCAGGGTATTTATACATCCCCACGACGAAAAAGACGTTAAATACAGATCTGAGAGTGCTCGCAGTTGGTGACAGATAGTTCAAATCCAATAACAACTACTATATAATAAAAATATCATGTATCGAAGACTAAAGTATCAATCAATACAGATCCAATGGATTTAGTGTAAAGACGTCCGTGTGCGCGTAGTGATTTTGTATCAGTAATTGTCACACAAATTGTTTTTCTTTTTTATAAAAATAAGCATTTCGGTGTGGATATCATCAAATTCTTCGAATCCTGCCTATTTTTTAACTGTCATATAGCTTAAACCTGTTTATCGGATTGAGACAAACGCAACGTAGTTGTAATATTTCCCACTAGAGGTTTAATTATCGGTTCATCATCAAAGCGTTTTTAGTGTACTTTCAATCTTATGTTGCAACAACGCTCAGCTTGACAACGTTCAAGTATTCGTTTTAATGATTGCAAAAACATATGAAATATCACAAATTCATTACTTAAAATAATCCAAAACTAATGCATGTAATGCATGTAATGAGAGCATTAGTAGTTTCTAGCTTCGATTCCGAATAAAACATTACATAAAACAAATTACAGAATATATTTTTTTACCTCTGCAACTAAGTTTTACGATGTCGTTAATTCAGAATATGCCGACAATTTGATACGGTCCCTCTATTGTTGTAGTCGGTGTACGTATTAGTGTCGGTTTAAGTGTATGTGTAGACGACTTTTCGAAAATGTCTAGTAGTAGTAGGAGGAGGAGTAGACACAAAGAGGATAAACAAAATCACCATTTGAGGTCAATCACTCATATAAAGCGTTGACTTTACTAAGGACATCGGCATGATTTGACCTAAAAGTGTCTTCCTTATCATTTTTGCTATTTAAAGTCACTGTGTCTATCTACATGTAGCTAGTAGCTAGATAATAGGCATCTTCTTTATTTTATATTAACATAAAAAAATAGTAAACATATTTATCTAAGAGCAGGAACACCAATAAGGAGTCGATTATATATCAACAACATGTAGTTTTATAAGAAAAGTCTATGGATTTGATGATTTTAAGACAAATTAAGGTAGCACAATACAAAGATTTTTTCACCCCCAATCAGACAACTTTAAACTGATGTAATTTCTTTCATCCAGTTTTAAATTTTATAAATGAGGTACCAAAAGAAAGAAGAAACTAAGATTAATCTTTTAAATGGTGATAATTTCATTATGACATAATTATTACATAATTAATTATTATGAAATAAGTTGCTATATTGTGATGTCCACACTTGAATGAAATTAGCTTCTTTGTTATTCATAGCACCCCAAATTATTTTACAGATTCTTGTACAACACGTACAGTTTTGATCTCCAAAACGGTGTTTCAGATTTTTCCTATTGTATTTTATTCCCTCATAAACCTTTAATGAAGTTTGCAACCCTCAATTCATAAGAGATCACTAAATTTAATTAGGTATAAAATTTGTTCTATTGCTGTTTTTTGGGGGGAAATCTGAGACACGTTTTTGAGGTTTTGAAGATAACTGGTCAAGGAACAACATGTGTGAAAATCAGACATATAGGGGCACCCATCTAGGAGCTAATTTCATTTAAAACTACATTTTCATGACAAAAATGGGTACAAAAATGAATGTGTCACAATTGAATAAATAAGGATATATATATATATTCCTACTTGTACCCCATTAACTTCAATATAACACATATTTACACATTCTCCTCAAAAAATTCTAGTATAAACATCAGAAACATTAATATTTTTCCAAGGATTTGTATAGTAGTTTAAGACTGCTGTACAATTATATTTGTTTAATATCTATACATTTATATTTTGATTCCCTCTATATCTCCAAATAGTTGGGGAGTTTTTTTTTTCTCCTGGCAGCTCCAATGTTTAAATGTATTTTTATTTGGAATTCAATATCTTCATTTTCCATAAATCCCTAAACCACCTCTTTTTCATAACTGTTATTTTTATTGCTGGTCAGTGGTCATAAAGCTGTCAAATGATTCTATTGGTCAACCACAAAGTACTGCCCACATGTTCTTGTCTTAATTGTATCAGTCAGACACGTGCATTTGTTTATAAAATTAATTATCATCAAAACTCATTAACAGTGCAAGATATGTAAATAAATTTTTCTTCTGTGGTTTTGGAATATTAAGAAGTAACAAAAACAGCTGAAAAATCAAATTTTGATAAAATTTAGTTGCTTTTGTATTGTGCTACCTTACGTGTCTTTCGATCTATCATATATATGTTGTGTACAAGTTGTAATTTCGTACAAATTATAATTTGTACAGGGTTTTTGTACAACTTATCAGTATTTTGAAACACACCTTCTTTCACCAGGTGATACATGTTTATCTTCAATAATTATCAAGTTCGATGTGTTACTCACACATTTATATACTTCAACCTAACATTAGCAACAGACATCTATGTCATAAAACTACAAATAAGAACACCTGATTGGTTTAGATTATATTTTTATTGTTTTACTAATACCAAATTCTATGTCCACAAAATACATTTTATTGTTTTTGTATAAACTTTGTGTCCGTACTATGTGCAAGACTGTAGCATGTTATTGTGGAAATAAAACAGTGATAAGCTTAACCAAAGACTCTGTGCTTATTTTATCTAATTGTGTAAAGTGATTCACAAAATACTGATAACTTGTACAAAAATACTGTACAACATATTTGTACACAACATATACATAATAGTTTTCAAGATAATCGACAAAAACACTTGTCATTAGACGAATTAGTAGACAGATATAAAAAGATGTGGTATGAGTGCCAATGAGACAACTCTCCATCCAAGTCAAAATTTATAAATTTAAAGTAAACCATTATAGGTCAAAGTACGGTCTTCAACACGGAGCCTTGGCTCCCACCGAACAGCAAGATATAAAGAGCCCCAAAACTTACTAGTGTAAAACCATTCAAACGAGAAAACCAACGGTCTAATCTATATAAAAAACGAGAAACACTTATGAACCACATCAACAAACGACAACTACTGAACATTAGATTCCTGACTTAGGACAGTAGAGCTTGTCTTGACGATCAGTTTTACTTATTTTAGTTTCTGGCTACCTAACATAGTTTTTAAAGTATTATGCTAAAACGAAAAAAATATGCTAAAACGAAAAAAAAAAATATTGGTAAACATCGTCATTAAATAGATGTAACTTCAAAAAGGAGTCGTCTGATAATTTCAACCATTTGACTTATTAATTATTATAGATCTTCTTAAAATAATCCTTTATACTTTAAAAGTTTCTCTTTTTCTCTTTTTCTATACGATTGTAATTTTCGAGATAAATGGCAGAAATAAAAACAAAAAATAATGTAAATTTGTCGTTTAAAGGAAATAAGTCATTGATGAAATCATCGGACAGTTTTAATGTAGAGGGACAATAGGTAGATTTCTACATTCTGAGCATTTCTGCCTAAGTCAGATGTTCTCTATTTATAGCGGATTTCAATATAAAAGACACAACTAGCATTTTTCACTTAGGTTTTATTTTTAGCCATGTCAGCCATTTTGGTTGGCAGGCGGGGTCATCGGACACTTTTGTTTTAAAGTAGATACCTCAATGATGATTTGGGTCAAGTTTGATTAAATTTGGCCTAATAGTTATAGAGAAAATTTTTAAAGAGGTTAACAGACAACGACTGACGAATCACGCTAAGTGATGAAAAAAGCTGACTTGGTCCATAGGGCCAGGTGAGATAAATAAAGCATCTGTCACAAAATAAATAGATTTGATCGTTGGTATACAATCCAGGAAGCTAGTAATTATTCTCCTTGATATTTAAATACAAATATAGTATCACACTTATTCATAGTCTCAGGTGAAATTCAAGTACAAACTTTAAATCTTTCAAATCACCTTAACATCATTTAACTGTTAATGCGGAAGTTTTACAAGGAAGTTAATACACTTTTCTACACATACATTAAATTGTAAAACTTAGGGTAAACATGTGGCTTTTCATTTCTGTACATGTATTGTGTAGTTTATTTTCCTCCATTCTGGCTACAAATCCTGGGTTCAGATTACGAATAACAGAAGATGGACTTAACTACGGTAAGTTTTATCATAATTATATACATGACAGTAATGTCTACGAATATTATAACTTAATTTAAGTGTCTTCTTACATTATGGTGCTTTATATATATATATATATGAACCCCAAGGGTGACTGGGGAATAGAAATATGGTCACTACAGGTCTTCTTCCGACCGGCAGTAAAACCCTTGCCAAAGCGGGGCGTCCGTTTGGCTGTGCGGGATGTATCAAGTACGCAGCCACGTCCGGTCAGAATGGGGACGTTAAATCCGATGCCTCGTGTAGAGAGAGTGCCACGCTATCTGCACGTTAAGAACCCTTGCAACAACTCTCGGAGGGGTCTGTAGGTGGCCTGTTGCAAGGCTAAATTTCTGTCCCTATCCAATTTCCTTCATTTTCCAATGGCAGTCTAAATTTCCCCGACCTTCATCCCGGACGGCCTCTATTACAGAACCTACCTACTGTATTTATTGTTAATTTGTTCTCATCCTGAACATGAAATTCAGAAACATTTGCCACTGGAAGTTAAGCAACCAACAATCAATCAATCAATATATATATATATATATATATATGTCATAAAAAATATAGAAAACATTATATAATAGATTACTGACTACTGTAGATAACATGAAGTTTCCATTTTCATAATTTGAAGCAATCTTGGTAATCATTTTCAAATACGAACACGAAAGCGTTGTGATTGCCTATGTGGCTTTCAACATCATATATATAAACCGATGACTTGTTATTTTAATTATATTTTTTTGTAATACAAAAAAGAAATTACCCATAGTCCTTACGATTCTGAATCGACGAATTCATAACGATATGGACATTCTCGCTGCGCCTTTTAATAAGGTACGATTGGGCAAAATGCATGCTTGACAACAAATGTGATACGAGAATGTCAACTTATTACCATTACCATGTGAATATTCTTGATATGAATAAAGATATGGCATGAGGTGTACGTCAATGAGACAGCAACGCAACGACACATGTCATTCATAATTGTCATACAATTCCGCTGTAGTTGGATTTTTTTATCCGTGTTGAAGGCCTCATTGTGATGAAACATGGCATTAAAAGCGTTGTTCATTTGCTTTTTGTGCGTTTTTTACTGTGCGTGTACTAACTCTGTGTCATGGGTGGATACCCCATATCCTTTTTTTTTATCATTCAAATTTTAACATTTTCATATTTTTTTCATATTATCATACATGTATAATATTCATCTCATCTCCTTTTTTTAGCTCACCTGGCCCAAAGGGCCAAGTGAGCTTTTCTCATCACTTGGCGTCCGTCGTCCGTCGTCCGTCGTCGTCCGTCGTCGTTAACTTTTACAAAAATCTTCTCCTCTGAAACTACTTGGCCAAATTAAACCAAACTTGGCCACAATCATCATTGGGGTATCTAGTTTAAAAAATGTGTCCGGTGACCCAGCCAACCAACCAAGATGGCCGCCATAGCTAAAACTAGAACACAGGAGTAAAATGTAGATTTTGGCTTATATCTCTAAGACCAAAGCATTTAGAGCAAATCTGACAGGGGTAAAATTGTTTATCAGGTCAAGATCTATCTGCCCTGAAATTTTCAGATGAATCTGACAACCCGTTGTTGGGTTGCTGCCCCTGAATTGGTAATTTTAAGGAAATTTTGCCGTTTTTGGTTATTATCTTGAATATTATTATAGATAGAGATAAACTGTAAACAGCAATAATGTACAGCAAAGTAAGATCTACAATTAAGTCAATTTGACCAAAATGGTCAGTTGACCCCTAAAGGAGTTATTGCCCTTTATAGTCAATTTTTTACAATTTTCATAAATTTTGTAAATTTTTGTAAACTGTAACTACTGGGCCAAGTTCATAATAGATAGAGATAATTGTAAGCAGCAAGAATGTTCAGTAAAGTAAGATCTACAAACACATCACCATCACCAAAACACAATTTTGTCATGAATCCATCTGTGTCCTTTGTTTAATATGCACATATACCAAGGTGAGCGACACAGGCTCTTTAGAGCCTCTAGTTTTGTATTAATTTTGTATTTACATTGTGTCATAGATCAAATTTATTCGTTCCGTGTATGTTCATTTGTTTTTGTTAATATGTCTTTTGATTGAGTTAAGCCATTTCAATTGATATTTTATAGTGTGTATTTCTATATTATGATGTTACACTATTGTTTCAGGTTAGGCTGAATGTTTAAAACGTTTAAACCCGCTGCATAAATTGCACCTGTCCTAAGTCAGGAACCTGGTGTTCAGTGGTTGTCGTTTGTTGATGTGGTTCATAAGTGTTTCTCAATTCTCGTTTTTTATATAGATTAGATCCTTGGTTTTCCTGTTTGAATGGTTATACACAAGTCATATTTGGGGCCCTTTATAGCTTTCTGTTCGGTGTGAGCCAAGGCTCCGTGTTGAAGACGTACTTTGACCTATAATGGTTTACTTTTACAAATTGTGACTTGGATGGAGAGTTATCTCATTGGCACTCATACTACATCTTCTTATATCTATGATAATTGTAAATGTATTTAAAACAGGAGTATGATACACTGTATGCGAAAAAGTTTGCGATACGGTTTATGCGACACAAATTATGAGATGTAAGTTTCAGTGCAACATCTTTATCAGATATTCCAAACAACAGTATCAACGGATAATATATACTTAACTGATATAACACGAATTAAGACCAAGAAACCAATGTTTTTATCAATAATAAGTTGGATGGTTTCAATTGAATGTTTTAGCCAATCAAGTAGCAGTAGATTTGGTTACAAAGAAAGTAAAGACCACTAAAATTCCGGATCAAAATGGGGAAGGAAAAAATGTTAAATATTCTCTTTCCAAGTGAGTAAAACTTATATTTAGAAGAATTATTTAAAGGTGTCAAAAAAGAAAAGTGACACGCAAAAAGTTGAAACATCAAATTTATTTAAATATGTGCTTAACAATGGACTTGGAAAAGTTTAGAATTAGTTCGTTTTATGTCCTGAATGTTTTTACGGTTTAAATGTTTTCTATACACAGCAAAATCATTAGAAAACAGTTAACTTTCCCCCAAATTGCACCGATTATATTTTTCTTTTTACTTCTTTTGATTGCTCTTACTTGACAGAGTACCAGGATGTCCTACCATAGAGTAGGTAACCTGTCGAAAAATTATATACTCCGGGGTCATAAGTCCACATTATCTTTTATTATCTTATTTTATTATATTTACTTATTATCAAGTGCCTTCAATTCAGATGGTAGCTAATCAAAGTTTAATGTTGCCTTCACAGATCAGCATATAAACTTCCTACAAGATTTTGGACATACTTTCAACAAGAATTGTGATATAAATCATATAAATCAATGCAATAGAAACCAAGCAATATTACATTGTACAATTGTCAAACTCATTTAAAAAACAAAATTGATATGTGCCTAAACCGCTAAGTCACATATAAAAGTTGATAAGATTTCAGAAGAAAAAAAAAATTCTTTCAAAACCACATTCCTTCATTGAAAAATCAGTACTAATATCTGTTTGATATCACATGATCTACTCCAGTTAATAGATGTGTTCGCATTAAACATATTATAAATCTGAATATGTAAAAAGTCTCCTTTTTAGCTATACAAACAATTATTATTTATCTTCTGTTGTGCTCTAGATTTTACGTATCTATTTATTTTAATTATTTTTGTTTTGTACAATTATCAAATAAGATATAATAATCATGTGACTTTTAATAGCTTGGATATACGGAATTTTCAACCACCTACTAGCAGCATAACATTAGCTTCAGAGAGCGACTTGCAGTGGAAAGCAACACATTTAGCACTGGAAATTGATGGAAATTTCCACTACAAATACAAAAAAAGATTGTAAGAAACTTGTCTGCTAATATAATTGGTACCGAAGTTCTTTGCTAAAAATGTTTTGCTTACTTTAAAGAAAATGCCTGACGGATAAATTCTAAGTATACTTTAAATAGCTTATGGTTAATCATTGCGCAAATTCATAGGAGAATACCACCAAGTATAAGCTTTTCTACTCATTTAAATGATGAGTACAGTACTATGCTTACTTCACAAAGAAACATTGCTTCCTTATAAAAATAAGGAGATGTGGTGTGATCCAACAAAGTTCAAATGAAGTGAATGTAAGCAATAATAGGCAATCATACGGCCTTCAACAATGAGAAAAACACATATCGTATAGTCAGCTATAACAGGCCTAGGCGATATGAAAAATATGAAACAATTCAATTGAGAAAACTAGCGGCCTAATTCATAACAAAACAAATACGAAAAACAAATCTTTAAAAGACAGTAAATAATTCTTCCAACAATTTGATTAATAATTCATTAGAAAAGAAAAGATGAAAAAAAAAAAAAAACTTGTAGTTTAAAATAAACTATAACTTTTATTCAATGTTTTTTTAATCTTAGCAAAAGCACAAACAACATAAGAATTGCATATAAATGCTATTCAAAGGCTACTTTGACAACTAGACTTTTGTTGAAGAGATAAAGAGAAGACCGTCAGAATTACATTTCAATGTATAATAAACTCATCATAGATACCAGGATTGAAATTTTATATTAACGCCAGACGCGCGTTTCGTCTACAAAAGACTCATCAGTGACGCTCGAATCAAAAAATGTTAAAAGGCCAAATATATAAGTTTTGTTTATTTTAAATAAATCAATGTCTGACTAGCATTTTGATGGGAAATATCTTCAAACTTTCCTCGTGGAAACACCGAGCTATTGACTGTGATAGCCATGACTCGGCACATGCACTTGTGAATGACTAAAGTGTTTGTTTATTTTATCTCATTATAGCATTAAATTTTCTGGTGGTGGAAGTGTCAACGTCAAGTTTTCTGATATCTCATTCAGTGTTGGAGTCAATCTAGGTAAGTGTCAACGTCAAGTTTTCTGATATCTCATTCAGTGTTGGAGTCAATCTAGGTAAGTGTCAACGTCAAGTTTTCTGATATCTCATTCAGGGTTGGAATCAGTCTAGGTAAGTATCAAGTGCAAATTTTCTAATATCTCATTCAGTGTTGAAGGCAATCTAGGTAAGTGTCAACGTCAAGTTTTCTGATATCTCATTCAGTGTTGGAGTCAATCTAGGTAAGTGTCAACGTCAAGTTTTCTAATATCTCATTTAGTGTTGGATTCAATCTAGGTAAGTGTGAACGTCAAGTTTTCTAATATCTCATTCAGTGTTGGAGTCAATCTAGGTAAGTGTCAACGTTAAGTTTTCTAATATCTCATTCAGTGTTGGAGTCAATCTAGGTAAGAATGATTTGTAGCTGTCTCATTAACATAATTATTTATATAATTTTACATCTCCCTCCTTGTATTGATATTTGTATTTACACAATTAAGTTTCCATATAAGAATGAGGAGATGTGGTATGATTGCCAATGGGACAACTAACAAACAATGCTCCCATATGGCTTAGTGAGTTCATTCCGACGAAAATCTTCAGAAAATTATATTTTTATTACTCATTCCAAAAATCAATGACCAGACTAATATGTGAATTTTATATCTTAGAATGTGTTGGATGTATACGTAATAAGCAAATGGTTTTGGGATATAATAAGTAGGGAAGGGGTCATGAGAGTATTGATACTAAACTTTCGTTTAATATAAACAGTACTGTTTAATCCCTTTAAGGAATGACTGTAATATTTTTTCGGTCTATGAAGAAATAACCTCAAAAATGTGTTGCACACTGATTAAACCGCGTAGCGGGTTATTTAAAAGTTTGCACCATATTTTTGAGGTTATTTCGAATCGACAGAAAAAATATTACAGTCAGTCCTTATAATTTATCTCTAAATTCCATTGTTAAGGAGAAAACCATGAAAAAACGTTCATGACGTCACGGTCACATGACAAAATTATGTCTACAAGGATCTTTAAGCTGATAGACAAAAAACTTTCAGCCGATCAGAAGACGAATTACATCCAAAATTAAATTATTTCTTTATAGACAAATGCTATGGTATAATTAGTACCTGGACACGAGCCCGGGGACACAAGATTATATATTTCACCTTTTATAAGGTCTCATGCCATGCATGTAATGAAAGCGAAATTAAAATATTCACATGCTAACATTATATAAGTATTATCCTTATATTGTATATTAGGTGTTGATGGTAGTGGAAAGCCAACAATAAAAGCTGGTAAATGTTCGTGTGACAGTGGTCCAGTAAAAGTAAAATTTAGAGGTGGTTTGTCTTGGATATACAATTTGTTCTCTGGAAAGGTTGGAAAAATTATTGCCGGTCAGTTTCAGAGTAAAGTAAGTATAATACTGCCATCTAAGCATATATTTTCTGATATCACTAGGAATTATATTGGCCATTGAAAAGAAAACTGATTACAGGCATCCCCACTGCCGTGAACTGATCTGAAAAATTTGAGTAACCCATTGCAGACATCCCTTGTGGAAAATATTCAGTACTATGTGCTCATACTGAAAAAACTTAACACTTCTTGAATGATTCATTTGCAGGCACATATCTCAACATTGGCACACTGCAAGAATATCATTTACGAATCAACTGCATTGAAATTACTACAATGAAACTGCTTTACAAATAAGTTTTAACCAGAACGAAACTTTTATGTTTTTTATATTAAGTTTTTTTTAGATTTTGCTATGATTAAAATGGTCGTATAAAACTGTATTACCGATTTTCTGTCAGAAGAGAGACAACTTTCATTCCCTTACGCATGCAACTTCTTACGTATGATGTAGAGTATTGTGTTTTTCTCTGTTATAATGTAGCTAGCTATAACAACGTTAACAGTGCCATTAAATATATCTCTTTACAATAAACAGTAGGTGCTTACAATACTTGTAGATGTGTGGTATAATACAAGATCTCATTGACAAGAATGCACAGGAAAGTCTGTCAACTATAAAAGGTAACGTGTATTGTAAAGCTTCAATATTTTAAGTATACATTGGTAATAAGCTTTTCATGCTCATATTTGAAATAATAAGAAAGTGGTAAAAATCATTTAGTGATCGCTTAGCAAAAACAAATGATTCACGTTCTTGAAAAAACTAATCCAAGACACCAGACAAATAATTTAGTACGCTAGTTGCGAATTGTGTCTAGACAAGACATATCAGTGGCGCTAAAATCCAAACAGCTGGAAAACCAAATCAATAATGATATTTAAGAGCATGATAAACTTCTTTCCAAAATGTTGTGCAAAATCTATAAATTGATGACTCATAATTAGGATCTATGATGTACAACGAGTTTATCCTTATATTTTGTCAATATTATATTTTTGAACACACCATCGTCTGAATACTAAGGTATTTACAACAATGTACACATTTCAGTTGACAAAGAATGGGTACAGTATGTTCTCGTTATGACATATTAAAAGAGGCAGGTTTTTTTTTCTAAAACAAAAAAAAAAACTACTCAAACAAGATTATGTACGAACAACTATTAAAAGGAATCTGTGATTTAAGAACAATCTACGCTGGAAACCACGAATTGGTTGATTGCAACAATTTGGTTGTTTTTCAATGTATTAAAGATTTATTTTTTACTCTGTCATAGCTATGGTCAAATTTATTGTGTAAATGTCTTCGAAACGTGTCACTGAATATAATTGAAATCGAATCATGGTTAAGAGCATCCCTTACAGAAATGAAAAGTTTCCTGCAATATTGCCGCAATATTGCAGCAATATTGCAGCAAACAAATCTGTTTGCAAGAAATGTTTGCAGTAAAGTTGCAGGTTGTTGCAGCTACCTGCAAAGTTCTCGCAACATTGCTGCAACAACTTTTGTTTGCGGGAAAATGGCAGCAACTTTGCGGCAATGTTGCAGGAAAGAAACTATTTGCCACAATGTTGCAAGAAAATGTTCTTCATAAAATTTTGAACAAGATTGTTTGCAAGAATGTTGCAAGAATCATATCTTTAAGATATAGGAATTGATTGTTTGCAAAAATGTTGCGAGAAAGAAATTGTTTGCCACAATTGTTGCAAGAAAATGTACTTAATAAAATTTTGAACAAGATTGTTTGCAAGAATGTCGCAAGAATCATATCTTTAAGCTACCGGGTATATATATATATATTATGTATATATGTATTGATGGTTTTCAAAAATGTAGTAAGAAATTTTCTTTGAAATACATGTGGTTGTCCTTACTATACATCATATTTGTTTTTTCATTCACAGTTATGTACAAAAATCAGGCTGTTATTTTCTTGCAAGGGTTGTCCTTTCTGGGCTTTTCTAGCTTACTATACAGTATGGGTTTGACCATTGCTATGATGACATATACTACAGTTGTAACTGTATGAATGTTAATTCTATGTCATTTGGTCTCTGGAGGAAAGTCTTAATATTTGGAATCATACCACATCTTATTATTACATGTATTATATGTATACATGTACATGTATATAAACAATCTCATTTATAAAAATCACCATCTTGTCTTTATGAACAGTATTTTATAAGGATAGAGGAGCAAAGTTTTAAGTGTGTTTTTTGTTTTGTTTAAAAAGGAAATGTTAATCCTGTTTATTAGTATTGAAATATATATTTGATTACATTAATCTAATTTAATTTTCTTTTCATTTGTCATGTTAACAATTTCAAGTTCAAATACTTTATTGTCAATTAAATATCATGTCAATTACAAGCAGAATGATCAATTAAATTTGGTAAAAATGATTACAATGAATAAAATGAAAAGAAAAGACAAAATAATGTATATTTAATATATAAATATCACATGTTTATCACTGACAAATACATTGATCCTTAAAATATACAAAAACTGCATTAAATTATCTGTTCTTCCTGGTGCTGTCATAATATAAGCACATAATGGTCAACAAGATAGCAAGCAGAATTTTAGATAGATAAATCATGCAAAGATAAATGTGTAAAATTTATAAATTTCCTAAGTTTCCAATATTTGTTTTCTAACAATATTTAAATTGATAACTAAATTACACACTTGATTAAATATGTGTCTATCTTCATTGAACATTAGTTGGAACTTGTATGTTTGGACCTTAGTCAGCCTCAAATGTGTTGGCAGGCTCACAAACATATCCTTCCCCTTCCTCTCCATTTTGGAAGGAAACATAAGCACAAATTTCCATAATATTTTCAAGTTTTATAACCACTATTTCACAAGATCTATTCCTGCAGGGGTGAATATGTGGCACAGTTATTTTTAATGCATTGTTTATTGTTATTTTTCTAGTGACTGATCCTATTTCCTCAACAGGTATAACAAATGCCAAAGACTGTCTATTATGCTCGTCATCTATGCATTTGTGAACTCCAAAGTATTGAATAAAACCAAATCGCATACATTTGTTTTGTGGACAGAAATATTTTACAGTATATGAATTTCTTTTAATAACTCTTTCATACTCTATGGAATGAAATATATGTCCTCGTAATATTACACGCTTATAGAATTCCATATTTGGAGGAACCATTCCAAGTAAAGGCACAAGTTGTTCTAAAATATACACAGGCAATTCCTTAGAATATTTTTTCCCAAGAAAATCAACATGAAAATGATTAACTAATCTTGTCATTCTCTCAGAATAAAGTTTTTGAAATGTTTTCCTATAACGATCAGGCAGAGACTCCAACATTGCTGGCAAATGTTGAATTATATTCACTGAACTTAAAACCTGTAGTTCTATGTTCTGAGTTCCATGAAATAATTTATTTAGTTCACCATTTGCATTTTCAAAGGAAAAACATGAGTATGCCCAAAATGGTCCGTGGTTTCGAACACAATCGGGCAAGTGCAACAACTGGTGTACATTCAGTGTCCTATACCTTTCCCCATATAAGGCAGGTAACATCATTACAAAATACTTAATAAGTCTTTCACTCTTGGCAACTAAATCCAAAGATATGTTGTCACCACAGAGATAATTAATAGCTTCAACTAAAGAGGCAAAATGTAAAAAGTAGCAATCCTCCATCAAGTCATTTAGAACTGGAAGAGCATAGAAAAACAGTCAGGAACGCAATTCAGATGCCTTCCAATATTTGAAGTGTGAGCTGATAGAACGTGGCACACGAGTGATATATTTTGGTGGTTTAATTGACATCAAACGCAGGTCAATAACGTCTGCATATTCTGCAAGTGAAAAGTCCTCTTTACTGTAGGTTGATGTTATCCAGAGTTTTATCAAGAGCTTTGTTACCCCTAAAAGAACACCATGCATGTAGTCTATGCTAGCACCTTCAACAAAGTCATAAGTTTGAAGCCCCATTAAGAGAGAAGGTCCTTTGATGCCATTTATAGTTTTTTTTGCCTCCCTTGCAGTGATGGCATTCTCAATACATGTTCTTTTTGTTCTGAGTTCCATAACTTCATCCTTTTTGAAAGGAAATATGTGTACACATCCACCTTTATTTGTCTTAAATGTTTGTCCTTTCTGGACACACTTTCCACAACTATATTCCCCATTAAACTGGTTCATGTTCATTAATAGACTTTTTGCTTGAAGATCTGCTGCTGTACAAAGTAGAAATGCTTTCACTTTTATAACATTTTCATGAACATTTATATCTACACCATTTCTTTCAAGTTCAAGTAAAGATTGATAAATTGGTTTCAAAAACGTTGACATCAGTGGTTTACTATCACCAAACCATAACCCAGCGAGAACCATATTTTCAACTTGTTTTCTATTCTTATAAGGAAGTTCATTAATCATCAAATAAATAGGCCAAAGAGAAAACTTTGAGCTTTTGAAAATTGCAACTCCATCTGTGTTTAAAACAAAAGAGATGTTGTTTGGAAATTCCTCTGATAATGGTCCACCATTGGTAGAATACGCCTTATAAATTTTACCTTCATACACATCCGTGATAATGTTAGCTTTAACTTCCCTTTTAAATCTTTCTTGTTGCAATACTGTGAAATTTTCTCTATTAAATAAAACTGACAATTGATCCTTTATAGGAAGCTCTATGAAGTAGGATTTTGATTTCAGATTTGTTAATGATTTCAAACAATACTGATTCACACATATGTTGGCATTTTCATTCACACATGCTAAGCAATTAATACAATAAAAGTGCTTCTTTAATGGTGAAGAAAATGATGCAAAATGTTTCTTGAAGTGATATAAACTCTTGAGTCCAGGATGAGCCTCAAGGCAGTGTGCAGAAATCAAAATCAATATCTGCTCAATTTCATGTTTTGAAACAAAATTTGTTATCATATGTAGCAATATCATTACCATGCTGACCCATACTGGCATGTCATGACCGTGATAAATAGCAGCATCAGTACAATTTTCTTCTTTGTCGGTTTCAGGTTCTTCTAAATCTGAATCATTTTCTATTTCATCAAATAGTTCCTCATCATCAACAGGAAAAAGATTTTCTTCTAAATTTTCTGCATTGCAAGTTGTCTCTTCAGGGTCATAGTTAATTTCCACTATCAAAGCCTGAATATGTGTTGTGTTTACATCAAAATTTGAAGTGTCTAATTGTTGATAAATTGCTTCTTCATTTTTTCCCTCATCTTCATTGGCTAAAATTTCAATGTCTTGGTGATAATTTGTAATTGAGAATGGTGAATCTGCTTCTTTATTATAACTATTGGCTGTTTTATATTGGTTCTCAAGACCATTTTTGTGACTGCCCATCATTCCTTCTGGGCTGTCAGGACTACATCTATCCACTACCTCATTCACGTCATTTTGGTTGTCAACCATCGTCATCGAGACAGTAGTCTACAAGTAATAACAAAATTAGGTGCCGGCATATTTAAAGGTAACTTACAAATTACAATCATTCAAATCAAATATAAGTTCCTGAAAAAACTTTTTCTGAAGTGGAAATTTGAGAATTATACAGTTGTTGTATCTATTATTTAAGTCCAAAACCTGTAATTTCTG